CCTCCGGGTACCGGGTGGCATAATCTACAATGGTCAGAATATACCGCTTGCCGGAAGGGCTAGGCTTGGACAGTGGTACTACTATATCCACTGCTACTCTGCTAAAGGGTTCTTCAATAATGGGAAGGGGGCACAATTTCGCTTTGTGGCGGTCACCCCTTTTTCCCACTCTCTGACAAATGTCACATGTCTGACAATACTGTCTCACATCTCTAGATATACCTGGCCAGAAAAATGCATGTGTCAATCTGTACCTCGTTCTTGTCATCCCTAAATGCCCAGACAGCGGAATATCGTGGGCAATTCTAAGCAGTTCCTGCCGGTATTTCTGGGGCACTATAAGCTGCTTATTAGTCACATGTACAGACCCCCCTACCACCCGCTCAGCAACACGATATAACAGATTTTTCTCCCATACATACTGTTCTCCCTCTAAACCTGTCTGACCAGCTGTCGCCTTATCCTTATAAATTTGCAACGTGGGATCGTTTTTAACCTCTGCCTCAAAGTCAGTCGGGGTATCCCAGGAAACACGGGTTACACGGGGTACATTGTCTCTTACCTGAGCCTCAGAGTGTGTGGAAGATGAAGCCGTGGTGCGAGCCTGCTGACGGGTGGTCACTGGATATGCCTCATGGCGAGGACTTTGGGGCACAAAAGCGGAAGTCATTTGCCCCAGGTCATTCCCCAAAACAACATCAGCTGGTAACTTGTGCATCAGCCCCACCTCCACCATACCTTCCCCCGCACCCCAATTCAGATGTACCTTGGCAGTTGGTAGCTGGTACATGGCACCCCCTGCTACCCGGACTGCTACTGATCCCCCGGTATGTGCTGATCCTGACACCAAATGCGGGGCAACCAAAGTTAAGGTAGCGCCGGAATCACGTAGCCCCTGTACCTCTTTCCCTTCCAGAGTCACGGTCTGGCAATGTGGTTGTCGGTTGTCAGTAGCATGGATGGACATTACATCGTGCAAAACGCCCAGGGGTTCATCAGCCGACTCAAGCGGCACTCCTGGCAAAGTTGGCTCTGCATGATAATAATGAGCAGCTGCCCGCGGGGCCATATTCTGCCGGAGCTGATTCCAGTTCTTGCGGCTCCGGTTTTGGGTGCACTCCCGGGCCATGTGCCCCCATTGCTTACAGGCATGGCACTGGATGTTGGACCTGCCATTATAACGGGAGTGAGGAGGTTGTCCCACAAGTGCTGGTCTGGATGGTGCTGTCGCTGGGGCAGGAGCAATAACTGGAAACAGTTGCGGGTTGTGTTTTGCATACCCTCGGTTATTATTTTTATGATGCCTCCTAGCATCATAATGTTGGTCGGCCAATCGTGCTGCTTCGGTTAGGGTGTGAGGATTTCGGTCATTCACCCATTCTTGAGCCTCTGGTGCCAGGCCATTACAAAACTGCTCCAGTAGCAACATCTGGCGTAACTCTTCCATGGTGGTAGCTCTGCTGGCTTGTATCCAGCCTTGTGAGGCTTGGTCAAGCTTGTGTGCCCACTCCGCATGTGAGTCTTTGTCCCCTTTTTTCAATTCTCGGAACTTGCGCCGGTATGCCTCTGGGGTAATGGCATACCTTTCTAATAGCGCCTGCTTTACCTTGTCATAATTCTTGCTGTCCTCTCTGGGTACAGCCCGGTAGGCGTCTGCTGCACGCCCAGACAGTTTGCCTGCCAACAAAGGTACCCACATAGCTTGCTCTACATCATGCAAGTCACACAATCTTTCAAAATCTTGCAAGAATCCATCTATTTCGTCTTTATCCTCGCAAAAAGTTTTAAATGCATGATGTGGTATTTTTGGCCTTCCCTGGCCCACAGTTGAAACAGCAGCGGTTTCTGCTTGAGGTGAGAAGGCTTGATTCCTTTGCGCCATCACGTACTCCTGTGCATCCGCCGAAATTATGGTCATAATTTCTGGAGATACTGGAGCGGGCCAAAATGCCAATCTTGTCCTCATTTCTCGTTCAAATGGGGTCTCCTCCATGTTTGCTGGGGGTGTAGCACTACGAGCTCGGTCTCCTTCCATTAGCTCGGCAATAAGTCTTGCTTTAGGCTTATTGCTGGCTATCTTACCCCTGGCTTCCAACAGCTCCTTTAACGTTTGCCGTTTCAATATGGTGTAGTCCGTCCCCATTCACTTCTGCATCTGTATCAATTGCCTTCTGCTTTCCAGTATGTCAATTCCAATTGTATAAACAGCGTTTTTCCTGCTGTACGGTTGGATCCCGCCGCTTGCCACCAATTGTTGCAGAGCTGCAATTTTATAATCCCAGGATCTCTGCTGGTAGAATGCAATAAACAAGTACAAAGCTGGAAGCAGGCAATATTCCCAAATCCTCCCAAGAACCAGACGAAACACAGTCTGAGAGTCAACTGCCACTTTATTCAAAAAGACTGATATTTAAAGCAGTTCACTCAACTGTCACTTTATTAAAAATAACTGATATTTAAAGCAGGTCACTCAACAGGGGTTTCCAAAGATGGGCAGCAGGGGTTTTGGTTGAGGGGACTGGAGGGAGACTACCGTTTCCAGGTCCTCCTCCCAACAGCCCCTGCTGTAACATACAGTAATGAAAACTACGAGGACATAAACCGTTACCTTTCTACTTCAAAATATACAACTTAGTCAGTTTTAATAGCAATGCTAACGAATGGGGAGGATTCGAACAGACATACACAGTACAGCATAAATTAAACATAGCCGGAGACGCCACACTATACCGGCGCGCAGTACACAACAGAAAATAGGCACAACCATTCTATCTTAGGCAGTCCCAAGTGGCTAGGTTTGCCACACCAGCGATCGCGGTATGGGGACTCACCTGGGAGCCCAGGGAGTCCACCTCCGTCCTCTTCGGCCCCTCTGGGCCATGTGATCGCGAGGTCCTTGCGAGGACCTCGCGATCACATGGACGGCATAGCCGTCCAAGGCAATGCCAGCAGGGGGAGTGCCTGTAAAGACAGGTACTCCCCCTGCTGTCTGGAAATAAAATAAAACATGTTAAATCAGTGTAAAAATAAATAATATATACTTAGATCATATATATATTTATTATATATATGATCTGTGTATATATATATATATATATATATATATATACACACATATACACACATAGACATACACTGTCTAAGTGTATTTTAATTTTAATATATACATAATTATATATATATATTAATATCAAAATACACGTACAATGATATTGATTAGAGTCATGTCTACAAATGCTCGCAGTTTAGGGAATAAGATCCATGAACTTGTGGCAATAATGGCAACTGAGTGTAGATTTAGTTGCTGTTACTGAGACATGGTATAATGAGAAAAATGACTGGGACATAGCAATACCAGGGTACTCTTTATATAGGAAAGACAGGGAAGGCAAGAAAGGGGGAGTCCTAACCTCAACATATGAAGAAAGGGATTTAGGGGTGATTATTTCTGATGACTTAAAGGTAGGAAGACAATGTAATAGAGCAGCAGGAAATGCTAGCAGAATGCTTGGTTGTATGTGAAGGATAGCATAAAATCTAGCTTAATAAAAGTTAGTGAGGCAAACATAGAGTCCGTTTGGGTTATGTTAGAATTTGGTAATCACACAGTAACTCGTGTAGGTGTGATTTATAGGCCCCCAGGACAAATTGAAGAGTTAGATAATCTACTAGTTGAGGAAATAGCTAAAATGACAATGAAGGGGGAAGTTATCATCATGGGTGACTCTAATCTTCCTGATGTAAATTGGAAAACAAAATTAGCTACATGTGCCAGGAGCACACATATTCTAAACTCCCTACTGGGATTGTCTCTAAAACAAGTTGTTGAGGAGCCAACTCGTAAAGAGGCCATACTAGATTTTGTGTGAACAAATGGAGATTTGGTATCAGATATTACTATAGGTGAAAGTTTAGGATCCACTGATCATCAGTCAGTGTGGTTTAATATAAGAACAGTGACTGAGTCACACCACACAAAAACAATAGTTTTAGACTTTAGAAAAACAGACTTTTCCAAAATTAGAATATGGGTAGAGGAGTCATTATCAGACTGCAGCAATTTAAATGGAGTCCAAGAGAAATGGGATTATTTAAAAGTTGCACTATTGAAGGCAACAGAAAATTGCATTAGGCTTGTCGGTAAAAGCAAAAAATTCAAGAAACCACAGATGTGGCCAAAATTGTTAAAAACAAAAAGTTAGCATTTAGGAATTATAAAAAAACCCAGAGTGAGGAAGACAAAATGATCTATAAGATTAGGCAGAAAGAGGCAAAGCTAAGTTATAAGAGCTTCCAAATCACACACAGAAGAGAAAATAGCACAGTCACAATACCTAATCAATGAAGACCACCAGGCCACACGGAGATACAAAGAAAAATGGGAAAGCATCACTGACAGGGTATTCACCAACGCACAATGGGACAAAATTCTCATCCTTCACCACAAATCTACCATTAGTTCATATTACCAAGAAATGAACTACAAACTATTGACATTCTGGTACCGAACCCCAGACCTCCTTCACAAAATATTCCCCAACACCCCAGCGACGTGCTGGAGATGCGAGACAGAAGTGGGAACGCTGAAACACATTTGGTGGGAATGTACTGAAATCAAACCGTTCTGGAATCGGATCATAACCCGCATCAAGGATGTACTAGGGGATACGATGCAATTAACTATAGACAATATCCTCCTACACAACACAAGGGACCCAATCTCAAAATACAAATGATCTATCCTGCACCACCTCCTTGACGCAGCCAAGGCGCTAATCCCAGCCCTCTGGAAAACGACACAAACCCCTACAATGGAACAATGGTTAACCAGGGTAGAGGACATCAGAGCCGCAGAAGAAATACACGCGACCTTGCGGGACACCATCACAAAACACGTGGACAAATGGCAGCCTTGGATAATGTACAATGCGGGACGGGGCACGGAGGGGACGGCTGGCGGGGAAGGGAGCTAGGGATGGCCTTTGTCCCTCTCTCTCCAGCCCACTCCTACACGCTATAACCCCTATACACACAAAACACAATTTACAGACAATCACCACATGACCAACACATCACGCACATACGGCCGCCTAACAAACACTCCACCAAGCCCCAAGATGGAATGGCAAGACACACAACACTACATTTCCACCCCGGACTGGACCCAATCGACAAAGAACACCACACAACAAGACCAAGACACTCACCACACGCGACTCAAAAACTGCGCCCAACGGAACTGCACACCAGACGAACAACGAAACGAACACAAACAGACCTAACAAGGAGCCCAGACTTACATAACTGACCCCAATAATGACTCCCTGAAAACGACTGAACATCAAGAGACCGGAAAACGGGGCACACACACCTTACAACCTAAGCAACTGTAGTCTACAAACCGGGCAACGCATAGGCCCCACACGCAGAACTGGCCCACAGCCCCAGAATAAGGTCACAATGAACCGCGTAACACACAACAACAGCCAACCTCGGACCTCTAATATAGATACACGCACAGACCGCGACATTCCACGACAAAATACATAATGAGGGACGCTCTATACACTCACACCACACACACAGACACCTCTGTCATCTTCCTCACTTAGGGCAGCGACACTTGATACCGGGGGTGGAGGAAACCACACAACTAGACCCGACATGCGAGGCCACCACACACTAGGATCTAACTCCACTCGTCCCATCCATCCCTGAAGGCCTGAGCGCCACGGTGCTAGACAGGTCTATCTGTGATAACCTAACGTTGAACCAAAACACGTAACAAGAGGCCTCCAGACGACAAGAGAATACCAGTATACGAGAAGGGACCTGCGAGTCCTCAGATGTCAGAGGCCTGCGAACCCACATAGAAGCCTCACACAAATACCTAATACAATACACTGCACGGTTTACTGGGGACCTACATGATCCACACTGTCACTAATCTGAAAATATATGATACACGAATACGGATAAAACAACCATAAAATTATAAACCCACAAAAAAAAACAACCTAGAATAAGAGACAAGCTGAAGTATAGCTTTGCACTTCTAATGTTTTATACCGACATGTGATAATATTGGTAATGCTCAGATTTTATACCGTTAATTTTCTCATGCTTGTCTACCTGTGTTGTTGTCGCCACAGTGCTGCATGGTGTATCTGACCTATGCCTCAATAAGAAACTACAGATTGATTTAAAAAAAAAAAAAAGTATGACATAATAAAGGCAACATAATCACATTAAGATGTTGTTAAGATGTTTAAACTACTCTGTCAAACCACAGGGCCGCATGACAAACTCTGTTAAAATGGTTATCAGATGTACGTTATGTGACCTGCGTGTCCCTGGTGCTCCACTATGTTACCAGACCTGCGTGTCCGCATCTTTTGCATTTAAAGTTGAATATCTTGACTCACAGACTATATGCGAGACCTGCGAGTCACAATCCCCTGCCACGATATGTGATTAAAAGGTAAACCAATAAACAAAATATATTTACTAAAAAATAAATATGTAAATACGTTAAAAAATAAAATTAAAAAAAATAATAAAATATAAATAAATAAAAAAATATATACATGTGTAATTTCGTTCTACCTGTAGTTTAAAATGAATATATATATATATATATATATATATATTGATATCAAGATACATGTAGAACGAAATAATATATATATCTATATACATAGGTATATATGTATATATACAATATATGTGGAGGTGAAGTGCTATATTTAATATGGATATAATAATGGAGAATATTCAGTGCCGTGAAGATAGGTAATAATACCTTATATATTTGCTTTATCAAATTGCTATGGTCAGTTAGTGGTTCCTTAAAAACAAAAAGACAGAGACCAAAACATAGTGTGGACTGTAATAGAAATATAAGTGGAAAGATTAAAGCAAATTTCCCACTTACAATTTTGAGAGCTAAACGTAAATAGCTCAATTCAAGCACTTTGAGGGTCCGTAAAGGTGACCCTTTCCCTTCTTTTATACGTTTCTCTTTCCTATCTTGTTTTCTGTAGTGGGCAGGAAAATTGCAAATATGGTGCAAATAACATAGATCTTAGTGCCTGATGATAAGTAAGGTAAATTGGGTACTTACAAACCCAGAGCCATCCAAATCGGCTCTAAACCAATCATGTATGTGGTTAAGGACCACATTCCTTCTTTCAAAATAGCAGGGAAATGCCAATAGTGAGTAAATATATAAACTTTATTGTACTGTTACCAATAAAAATATTAAAAAAATATATATACATATATATATATATATATATATATATAAAACAACACAATATAGGCATAAAAAGTCCAAATAATCCAAAGTCTTATTCCTCACAGTGTCTACAGGACATGTTTTGCCGTGCAGGCTTCCTCAATTCCTCAAATTACCGAACGCCAGACCACTCATATGTGGAGTGTGCTGCTCATTAACCCCAATAATCCCTGTTCACACCAACCAACCACCAACCACAATAACATGAACATTCCAAGCGGTCGGCCATCTTTAGTCACGAACATAGACAGCGGTGTTTGATCGTCGAGGGCATGGAACTAAAATCGGACATTCGATGGCGCAAACACCGCTGGGACTTCCATCCTCTGTTATGTTCGTGGGGATTCTGATGAACAGAGTGGCGTTCAGGGGGAGCAAACTCCCGAACAAGATACACAGCAATAATGTCTGCACGAACAGTTCATGTCTTGTATTTCACCTATTTGATACTCCCGAAAGAGACCGACCGCACAGCCTAATTTCATGGAACCTTTTGGGCAGGCACCTCGTGTGCAGTCGGTGTAAACTATACCAGACCTGAGTGTCATCCAGTTATATAGGTCTCAATTTAAGATCCTGGTACTTACTTACACATGTCTACTCGATGCTGCTCCCTCATTTTCGTCTGACGCATAACGTCATATTCCGGCTCTCGGCATCACTCTGCGGCGCGCGAGGGAGCTGAGCAGAGAGCTCAGGGGAAAGTGCTCCCTCGTTGCCCGCCTGCCTTCCTGCCCAGCAGCCCCACTGGACCCCAGGTGAGAAATCCACCCAGCTATCCCAAACGTGTGGAGGCTGGGTGGATTTTAATTAAAAAAATAATAATAATAATAATTGAGTGTGGGGAAATGTGTGTGTCAGTGAGTGTGTGTTAGTGAATGTGAGTGAGTGTGTGTATGTCAATGAGTGTGTGTTAGTGAATGTGAGTGAGTGTGTGTCAGTGAATGTGTGTTAGTGAATGTGAGTGAGTGTGTGTGTGTCAGTGAATGTGTGCTAGTGAAGGTGAGTGAATGTGTGTGTGTCAGTGAATGTATGTCAGTGAATTTGAGTGAGTGTGTGTGTGTCTGTCAGTGAATGTGTGTGTCGGTATGTCAGTGTGTTTGTGTCGGTCAGTCAGTGCGTGCGTCTGTCAGTCAGTGTGTATGTGTCGGTCAGTCAGTGCGTGCATCTGTCAGTGAGAGTGTGCATCTGTCTGTGAGTCTGTCAGTGAGTGTGTGTCAGAGTAAGTGTATGTCTGTCTATCAGTGTGTCAAATCAGTGAGTGTGTGTATGTCATTGTTCGTCAGTGTATATGAGAGTATGTGTCTGTCAATGAGTGTATGCATCTATCAGTGAGTGTGTGCGTCTGTCAGTGAGTGTGCATCTGTCAGTCAAAGTGTGGCCTTGACAGGAAGGGGTGGGGAAAATTTTACTCTGGGGGGGAGGTTGCCCAAGCACCATTTTGCCTAGGGCAGCACAAAACCTAAATACACCACTGTGTATAACAATGTACAAATAGGCATTCAGCTCTTCCCCCTGAATGTTTTGGAGCTGTATAAATAAAGTAGCATAATATTGCTGGACTCATTTTGGTTATAGGTACATGCAGATATTTTAAGTACAGAGATCTAGTATAGTCCCTTACCATACATTCTATTTTTCTTTGTATTAGCAACAATACATTCAGGATGTTCTTATCTAGATATGGACAGGTTTCCTCCTATGTAAATTAAAAAGTTAACGCTGGTACCTCTCTGGCTCTTTAAATAACTTGACCATATAGATGACCCCGAGAAAGGCCCTGGGGAGATAGCGCAGCTAAGCGGACAAGGGCACATGTAGGAGTGTGGGGATAGATGCATGGGATTGGTTGGGAAGAGTGTGTGGGTGGGATTATGTTCTGTGTAAGTTAGTGTGGGGGAGGTCTTACCTCAGTGACACTTGGGATTCGGGCCAGCAAACAGCTTCCTGTCCTCCTGCTCCTGTTTGCCTAGGCCTGCAGATTGACACAGCTTGAGGGATGGAGGTTGAGGCTTGCTGGCTTCCCTCAGGGCTGCTGCAGTGTGGAAGGTGGCCAGCGACTCCTGATTCAGGTGATATCCTCTCCTGGATCCTCTCCCCTGGGTGGCTGCCGGTGTGGGTGCTCCCCCGCAGCCTGGGCCCCTGGGGTCCGCGATGGTGGAGGCCGGCATTCCCGCCAGCCGGCTCGGCTACCCCCCCTGGTGCTGCTCCTCGGGCCCGGTTGAGGAGGTGGAGCCCGGGCCCGAGGCTTCACCCGTCCGCGTGTCTGAGGCTCCAGACACGCGGCCTACAACTGCCGTGGAGGATGCGCGGCCTAATCCCACAGCGCGGGACCTGCGGCCTCCCCCTCCTGCAGCCGGATAACGGGCTGCGGCCTCCGGCGTTGGGATTCACGCCGGAGGCTGTGGGAGGCGGGCGGCGCATCCCGCGCCTTGTGTGGCCGACTGGAGGCCTTCTGGAGCCGCCGCATGGCGGGCGCGACGGCGGGGCCTGGGACAGGGCCCCAGCAGTAAGTGGGCCCTGCAGGGCCGAGAGGGGACTGCTCCAATGCTGTTGGGGGTGGACTTCTACGGTGTTCTTACAAACATTTACAGACTTATCAAAGAGACGGCCAACAGCAAGTGCAACCACAGACTGGAAACGAGTCAAGGGAAGAGCTTTTTCTTGAGGGCCTCCTCTGCCAGTGAGGATGGCGCCCGGGGGGTCCCCCCCCTGTTTTCAGCTCCCCCCCCTTCTCGGTTTCCGGTTTACCCCCCCCGTTGGCATTCCGGGGGCGGTGCCTCATCTCGTGCCCTGGTGTCCCCCTGTTTTCTTTCTTTCTTCACCCCCCTTTTTTTCCCATCTATCTGTTTTTCTTCCCCCTTCCTCTCTCTGTTTCTCTCCTCTATGTCCTCCCCCCCATCACTTTTCCTCTCTTCCCCTGCTCTTACCTGTTCCTGGGTCTTCTCTGCCTTTTGCTTCTTCTTCTTTCTCTGCCTTTTGCTT